CGAACAAATTTACACCCGCATGACTCTGATACCATGTTAGGAATCACGAACCTCCACAATGGCATGATATTGTCCACTTTGAGCATAAGCTCTCACGGGTTTGCTTTTGGTTTCCCCAAAAATCCTCATACCAATGGAGATGCATTTCTTATAAACCCCAGACCATCTTCTAAATTAGCCAACGTGGGACTCCCTCCCAAGAATCTTCAACACAAATTATAATTTTGAATAGAAAACCAATCCAAAGTACTCAATAATCTCACCAACATATTAAACCAATTAATTTTAGGACTTCTTACAATACTTCACCTCACAAAGAAATGAACCCAATTCATTCTGATAATCAGTAAGAAAGAAACCTGAATGTCGAGATATTTATGTGGCAGATCCAACAACAAACAGGAAATAGCTATCAGCTATGATATGCATCTTCCCTCACTTGAGGATCCATTTCGCAGACATGACATGCAGCCCCATCCTCTGGTCACTAAATGACTCTGCAAGCAATTTGAAGAGTGAGGATCAAACAACCCATTTATACCTGTCGGAAAATCATTGCAAGTCCGAAATAAAACATCAATTATGTCAGTTTGACAGCATTGTCTTTGCATATGCATGACGAACTGAACAAATCCAAAGATTAGTAATTTGAACCTATATATAGATGTGTTCATTCTGCAAATCAAGTCATCCAAAACAATTACTTTCAATGCTGACTTAGTATAGAACGTTATATCTTGTGCTTTAGATGGTTGATCACGTTCGAGATCTTGCACATGAATACAAACTACTCATCCATCAAGTAGTTTTTGAAAATCTAACACTGAGTTTACTTCATATTACCATTTATGGAAACTTCATAAAAGATTACAGAATTAACATACCTCAAGCAACAGTGAGATTTCTGGGAGAAATGCTCACTACATGGTTCTGATCGAATGCAAGTCCTGCTGCTGGAGGGCCGAGCGTAACGTTGATAGAGCATAAGTTATCTGTTAGTATGATAAGATACATAGACTGTTTCCAAATAGAACCGAACTGTTGGTTTCTTTCCTCCAGAAATCAATAAAGAAGATAGATTAAATTGATGCTCATGAATATGCGGAATCCTTCTACCCACTGACAAGATCCCTAGTTTCTATTTCAGTTGTATTGGCATCTAATGCAGCCTCCTCTGAACAATCAGTATCCTCCATATCCTGCTCAGAGTCATACTCAGCCAAAGCCAAACCGTTGTCCTCCATTTCAGAAGTGTCGTCAAAAGTTTTAATCCTTTTTCGCTTTCCTCTATAACCAGCGAGGCTCAAAACCTTCTCCTTCCAAAGAACCAAAGGGCATTTATCAATCAACTCCGGCCCTTCATAAGCTTCTGTCAAGAAAACACTAAATCTTTTACCCCTCTCTGAAACATAGAATATCCCAACATGCTTCAAAAGAAGTCTCATTAGCTTCTGAGGCATCACAAGTTCCCGCCTAAAGTGGGTAAGGTGATCAGTAACTAGTCTCTTCTCCATGGTGAAGTTAAGCAACTCGTGCATAACAGCAACAGCCCTTTTATCAAATTCTAGTGAGCCAGCTTTTAGCTCCCTTGCATCGGCATATGGAGATAAATAAGACCTTTTCTGGAAATGATCAATTTTCCCTCCATATCTATACATCTTCTTGTAATTGGAAGGAAATTTCAAGGGAAAAGGAAGTGAAAGCAAACCTGGGGTATGAGTTGCAGTGCTCTCAGTCACACCCATCAACTTCTTCTCCAGCTCTGTTATAGCCCAGGCAGGATTCCAGGAAACAAGCTCCAAGTATTCACGTTCATCTTCACACTTCACCAACTTAAATAGTTCAGGGTAATCATTCACCCATTTGGCTCGGAAATCAATTGGAAGCCCAAAATCTCTTCTGAAGTGAGCAATCTTGTCCACCGGAAGCCGCTTATTCACTGACATCATCAAAAACCTGGTAACATACTCGGCAGCCTTATCAGCGTTTTGTTCAATTAGCGTCTCCTCCTCTTCCATCAAATCTTCGGCTTGTTTAGTCATTCCACACCACAATATGCCCCTCTGATCCTTGTACAGTTCAAACAGTTTAGGGGATTTTCGAATGAAGTCCGCGATCTTGTGCGGTTTCGGGAGATTGATTTGTCTCCGATATTGCTCTAAATTCCTAACTGGAATTATCATCTCAGGCTCTTGCTTGAGGGTTTCGATCAAGAAGAGTACCTTGTAAGCTACCTTCCATTTTTCCGTCGCGATTTCAAGAGCTTGCACCCTCTTCAAGCGGCTTCTATCTTGAACGCGTTTACTGCTTGTCATCGACCGGATTTGTGACCACGACCACAAGTCCACAAAACGATTTCTGCATACATAATTTGCGAACTCATTCAAGCAAAAAAATGGAAGATGACGAGAAGAATTCACATTGTACCCATTCGAGACCAAGGCCTTCGAAGAATTGGCAATCCAAACAGCCATAAACATGGATGAAGTTTGCCAATGCAACGTCCCTCCCCAAGTGTTTGAGAAAATGCCGAAGAGAGAAGGGCGATTGCTTTGGCAACCAGTAACGGCGGCTTCGCGCCTTAAGTTCGATTCGACAGGGCGAGTAAGGAATGTTCGCAAAAGGCCGAGTAGTACAGGCCCATTTGAGACATGGGCCTCAACTCTTCACTACGGCCTGTTCGCAAAAGGCCGAGTAGTACAGGCCCATTTGAGACATGGGCCTCAACTCTTCACTACGGCCTGTTCGCAAAAGGCCGAGTAGTACAGGCCCATTTGAGACATGGGCCTCAACTCTTCACTACGGCCTGTTCGCAAAAGGCCGAGTAGTACAGGCCCATTTGAGACATGGGCCTCAACTCTTCACTACGGCCTGTTCGCAAAAGGCCGAGTAGTACAGGCCCATTTGAGACATGGGCCTCAACTCTTCACTACGGCCTGTTCGCAAAAGGCCGAGTAGTACAGGCCCATTTGAGACATGGGCCTCAACTCTTCACTACGGCCTGTTCGCAAAAGGCCGAGTAGTACAGGCCCATTTGAGACATGGGCCTCAACTCTTCACTACGGCCTGTTCGCAAAAGGCCGAGTAGTACAGGCCCATTTGAGACATGGGCCTCAACTCTTCACTACGGCCTGTTCGCAAAAGGCCGAGTAGTACAGGCCCATTTGAGACATGGGCCTCAACTCTTCACTACGGCCTGCTTGAATTGCACTCAATAGTGACGAGACACTCCTAGGAATATTGCCCTTTGTCTTTAAATTTCTTCCACATTTGGTCCCATAAAAACATTATATTTTTATTATATATAAATGATAAAATGTTAATACCATGTAAAACTCTTTTCAAATTAAGTAAAATAAACCTATTTCCACGTCATAAATAAACAAATTATCGTTTCTATTGGGTTATTTCAAGCTCATCACTAATAAAAATTATCCACTTTAACCGGTTACGTATCATCGTCAACCTCACGATTTTAAAGCTTGTTTACTATGGTGAGGGTCTAGCCCTACTCCGACTAGTGTCTCACATCGTCTGATGATTGGCTCTAATACCATTTGTAAACCTACCGCTAGCAAACATTGTTCGTTTTAGCTCCTTACGTATTGTCGTCAGACTCTCAATTTTAAAAAACGTCCCTAGGGAGAGGTTTTCACACTCTTATAAGAAATGTTTCGTTTCCCTCCCCAACCAATATATAATTTTACAATCCACCTCCTTATGAACCTAACGTTCTCGTTGGTACATTGGTCTGCACATAAACCCTAAACCCTACCCCTAAATCAGATAGAGTATGCTTTTGATTTTTAAAGTTTAGGGCGAATTTTTGTTTTAATTTTAAATTCGTGGGATAAAAACAGAAATGTCCTGAAAATTGAAAGGGTCAAACCTATAATAATGGGGTCCGGGTCCCGTTTTAGTTGGACTTAAATTTTGATAGCCGCAACGCAAAATAGCTGCGCGCCTTGGTCGTCGCTGCCATTTTCATATTTGGACTGTTGACACTCCAAATTAAGCACGAGTTTTTATTTTATTTTATTTTATTTTATTTACACTTCACCACCTCTTCCCTTTTAATAATATTTTAACAACCATTTCCACGTCATCCATTACCCCTCTTCCTTTTTCAGAACCGTCACGCCTTTTCTTCATTTTTGGCACCGTCAAAGTCCAAAGTCCTTCATGAAATTGACATATATATATATATATATATATACATAATAGAATATAATAGAATAATTTGAAATTTTTTTCGACCTATCACTATATTCATTATTATTTAACTATTTCGTAAACAAGTGTCAAATATTAATTTTAGAAATTAATTTATATTTTTTATATTTTTTATAAGTACAATTTAATACAAATAATATAAATAGATATGGTTGTTCACTTCTATTTAAAAATATATATAAATAATGATTTAAATTAAGCTCCCAAAAACTAAAATAAACGAAAAAATCAAAGAAAAAACGAGTATTTATCTTGAATATTATAATAATACAATAATATATTCCGTAACTTTATAATTTTTAAGGTTATAGTTGACTCTCGAGTATAATTACATGAATGAATATATATATATATATATATATATAAATAAAGAAAGAGTAATATAAATATACATATTGATTTAATCGGAAAATAAAAATAATTTATTATTAATTTTATAACTTTTTTAATCAGATAAATATGGATGGATAGCTATATTTCAGAATATTAATATTTTTTATTTTATTGACATAATAATTTAAATAAAAACAAATAAATTGAAAACATTTAATATAATGGTTATTTTTAAAACTCCACGTGGTAAATTAAATCATTGTTCCGCGTTTCTGTTTACGCCATTGTCGTCTTCTTCCTTGAGCTCTCTCTCTACTCAAAATCTACTCGTTTTGTCCATTTCCTATTTAAACTCCAAAATCCTCTCCCCTTTTTAACTATCTTCAAATTGCCCTTACCTAGCTACCGAACCTGAACTCGAACCCGAACCTGTCTTAGGCTCGGATCGGGTAATGGAGGACCGTCGTAGCTCGGGCAATGAAACGGACGACAAGTCGGGTCAGAATCTAAAGTACAAAGGCGTTAGAAAGAGAAAATGGGGGAAATGGGTGTCAGAAATTCGGCTACCCAATAGCCGTGACCGAATTTGGTTGGGTTCTTATGACAAACCCGAACAGGCGGCGCGTGCTTTCGACGCGGCTCAGTTCTGTCTGCGTGGTCCCCGCGCGAAGTTTAATTTTCCTGACAGTCCACCGGAGATTGAAGGTGGGGACCGACTTACGGCTCAGGAGATTCAGGCCGCTGCTGCCAAGTTTGCGGGCGAGCACGGTGGAGACGGAGGAGGTGATGGGTATTGTAATGATGAAGCTGTGGCGGGGGAACATTCTTGTGGGGCGGTTGATGGCGGAGAAGGCGGCGGCGTTTGGCCGGTTTGGGACTTGTTGGACGGTGGTTCGGGATTGGGGTTTGATAATATTATGGGTGGGAACGCAATGATTTGTGATGAAGATATTAGTTTTGGGGTGGAAGAACATATGGAGGAGGATGAGTTTGGTGATGGTGGAGGCTATTTTTATCACGAGCCTAATTTCCTATGGAACTTTGATGATCATTAACCCTATATTGCCCTTCAAACAAATAAAAAAAAATGCCTATAAGCTAGGGTTGGGTCATTGCCAAAATTTAGCTTTTATGTATAATATTACACCAAAAGTAAATTCAAATGTACGAAGATTATAATTTTAAAAAAAAATCACGTAAACGTGTGTGCATAAAATTTTGGGTCCACTTCCACTTGTGAGATGAGAGTTTCGAGTTAAGTCAAGAATTTTGTCATTTTCGAGTTAAGTCAAGATAGTCATCGTAGTAGTAGTAATGTGATGTGTGTTATTTTTATGTTCAAATCGAATTATGGTAGCTGTAACATGAGAGATAAATTAATATACTAAATTATTAAATAAATCATGGATCACTTTGGATGATAAAAGTTCCACGTCCGCTAATTTAGGAAATGATCATGGGTTTATAAACAAATAATATTTTCTCCATTGGTGTGAGGCATTTTGGGAAGCCCAAACAAAGGCACGAGAGTTTATAGCTCATAGTGGACGATATGACATTTTTTTTTGTGAGCAATTCTTGGCAAGTCTTTTGGACTTTGAATACACAATTATCGAGGAAAAAAAAGGTTTATCTGTTACAAAAAACACTTTTTGTTACTAAATTAAGCAACAATTTAATTATTAAATTTTTGTTGGTAGTGATTTATTTATTTAATTTTAATTTTATAACAATTTAGTATCTAAGTTTTTAGATGTAACAATATAATGATAAGGTTTATCTAAAGTTGAAAGTAAAATGACTAAATTGATATTTTTATAAAAGTTGATGGTTAAAAGTTTTTTTTTTTAAAATACAAAATAATAGTAAAACAAGTCACTATTTTTAAAATGAAATTATTAGAACTAGATTAGGATACATACAGTTGGATTTTGTCATTTATTAAAATTAATACCTTTTCATTTTTAAAAATTTGTAATATTATCTTTATATTTTATAAATATTTTAAAACTATTATTAGATATTTATGAGGATGTGGAACAAAAATGAAAATTGGAACTGGAGGACTGCACCGTCTTGGATTTTCCATCTAAAATTAATTTCTTTCTTAAAATATTTTGGAATTCGGCCAATTATTGTCATAAATTCTCACATTTTCAGTCATGTGGAGAAATTTGACCAATAATTGATTTGACCATTGACAATGATATTAACTTTCCTTTTGAAAAAAAAGTCCATATGCACGTGTCAACAAACATTTTTTTGTTTTTTCGATAATAATATAAAATACTATAAATTATTTTTCAGTTTTATTAATTTACATTTTAAACAATTTTTGTAAATTGTTGCACTTTTGACTGATCATCAATACGAGTTAATAAAATTAATACAACGCATTGAGTTTAGAGGTAAAAAAATATATTGACATTCAAAAGTACATTTTTTTACCGATATTTCAAAAGAAGATTATTTTTTATAGCTCATTTTCGTGAATGAATAATTTTAAAAACTAATAAGAAAGATAATTGAAGTATTAACTTATAAATAATATAATAATATAATAAATCAAAGAGACTGAACAGAACATTAGTTATTCAATTGAATATCAAAGGGATTTTTCTTTTTTCTTTCTAAACTATCAATTTAACAATAACTCAATTAATCAAAATATCAGTTACCTCGACGAAAGAGGGCCAAATAGTATTCGATAGGAAGTCATCCTTGCGACACAATTACGACCATTAGGTGCCAACAATATCGGCATGGTTGGCAAGACAAGCCTTGTAAAGCAGAAGCAGTTTACTAGAATCAGATGGGTGTACAAAATGGCTATCTAAAAGAGGGTCAGTAGTGGTTAAATTGTTGAACTTACGTGAATCTGCAGATTTGATTCAGCCGGAGCCACAAACAGTTCTACTGAGCCCATTTCATTTCTGCAGCGCTTGGAGAACGTGAGAGAACCATCCATTGGGAGTGTGGTGAACAAATCAAGATGACAAAAGCGAGATCATGGCACGGGCTGAGTCAGGTCCATGATTATTCACACTTGGTATTATGTTTACAGGAGAGACAAGCTTTACAAAATCCTTCAGTTCTGAGAAGCTGCTATGCTCACTATATGGCACTTCGTATCTGTATAAAACATGAACACAGCTCTTGTTTGATGGTTAAGACTTGAATATGAAGACCAATTCAAGTTAGTTATCAAATCTATCCTTGCTGAAATGAAGCAGCAGAGAAATTTTTAAGCATTCAATAGTGGAGTTACGATGTAAACTTGTAACAACCTAGCTCACCGCTCGCAGATATTGTCTTCTTTTGGACTTTTCCTCCAGGGCTTTTCCTCAAAGTCTAAAATGAATCCACTCGGGAGAGGTTTCCACACTTTTATAAGAAATGTTTCGTTCCTCTCTCCAATCAACGTGGGATCTCACAAGACTTGAACCTTTCTTTTCATGGTACTCCTAGCGTCGATTTACTTTAATTTTCAAAATGTGCGACTATTCTCCGTACTCAAATGAACTAGACCAAATAACGAAGAGATCCAAGAAATTTATTGCATGAAGCATACTAAAAACATATTTCATCAAGTCTGGAAACAAGTTCTAGAAAAATTACCTTATAATTGTACCTTGCTGCGACCTTCTTCCAGGAGATTTCTTCTTTCCTTTTGAAAGTGCCCAGCCGGTGGGAGAGAAAGCAACTATAAGACTGAATCGACTCTGAATGCAACAAAATCAACCAATTAGTAATTAGATGCAATGGAAATCGGTAAGTGAATTGCAATCATTTGAAACATGCAAATGGGGATACTATAAATCCTACTAAAACGAGGATTTAATTGCTATACTCACTGCATATTGATTTGATAAATGCTTCAGTCGTTTGAAGCTCGCAAGTGTCCACAGAGGTACGACATGTATGTGACTTTCCCGTTCATTCACTGTAAACCACTGCATGTCCTCCGCTGAGAACCCCAAGCATTTCAAAATGCGTAACTTTGCTGAACTTACATACACCTTCTTGTGCAGAACGCGGGCAACTTCCAAAAAAAGTCGTTCCTTTCCTGTTAGGAATAGCTGAAGATATTTAGTAGTCCGTGCCACCTTTTAAAACAAATTTAGAAACAGAAAGAGAAGCCATAAGTATATCCCATGACCAACAACATGAAGCAAAAAAAATGCAGGCCATGAAGTCACAGCACGAAGTTAAAGCTAAGACTGAAATTTAAAGCCAAATTTTACCGATGGTATAACATCCAATCAGGAAAAGGGTTTTAGGGTTGAAAGCTTCAGCTTGAATGGCATCAATTACAAACTGTATAACGGTCTCCTGCTTTGGGAAATCATTCTGCAGCAAGTAATCCAATAAAGCGAATTAAATGGTAATCACAAATCATAAGAAATGGAAAAAACAGCACTACACTTGTAGGCCCGTGGGGACCTTTGGAACATGGGCAGAAGTACAAGGAACATTATATGTAGATGGATACGTCTGATAATGTGTGCGTGTTGAAGAAGAAGAGAAACAATTTCATTGATAAGTGAAATAACAGGGTAAAGATCTCCAATACAAGCAATAAAATTTGAGCCCACATAAACTCAAGAATGGGGTTTTAGTTGAGCAATTGCATCAAAAACTGTTCGGCCTTTACAGAAATATTGGACAGTCTCCATTTACTCAACGCTATGACCATATACATGCTGATTTGCAGACTCCCACCTAAGATTAATGACTTTGACTTCAGACTCGAAGCCCAGTTTTGCATCAAACATTATGATTCTAAGCCTTACTTTAGCTAATAATTCTTTTGAGACGAGAATCAAAATACTTCTAAATATGTCAGTAACCAAAGTAAAAAAGCTAACCCCATTCCCCAATATAGAGTTACCTGTGGATCACAATAAGTGGTATCAAGGATCAGAGTATGGATACGACATGTTTGAAAAACCGACAAGCTTCCCATTTGCTCACAATATCGGAAGTCCCCTGTATGTAGAACAGCCTGCATAACGGAAGAAAAGTTGATCACCGAACAGAATATGAAAAGGGATGATGAGTGATTAGAATAGAAAAGCTAATTTGAGCCACACCTTACCACTGGGTGGTTCAAAGAGTATGATTATTGAACCAGGGCAATGATTAGCATCAAAACAGGTTACATCTGTTCCCGCAATGTTAACTTTTTGGTTGAGAGGTAAAACTTGTAACCTTTCCCATGGGATTCCAAGCTTCATGTTTACCAGCTTTGCCGTAATAGGCGAACAATAAATCATTCCATGACGAAATGACTTTGTTAAACCTTGATAATCTGCATAAAGATCACATTTGATGTCGGAGAAAAAAAAACGATTCTGTTAACAAAAATTTGGACATTTCCTATCCCTTTACGCATTAAGACTTGCAGCTTTAAATTTGTGGGTAGATAAATGAAAATATCCGTCTCAAAGTTGTTGCAATCATTAAGGAATCGAATGGCGATATGTGACCAGAAATATAAAGATCTAACAAGCTAACCTCATTAATCCGTTGAGACACGAGTAATACTCAAAATGGATAGTACAACACAGACACGCGACAACCAAGTTTAAAAAGCTATATCCTTCATGCATATGATAATATTCAAAAAAACAATTTCATAGAAGTTGGAAATATGGTAAATGCATAGGCAAATTAATGGTAGAAACATGTTTCATAGTTTATGAAGAGAACCCAAACTAATTAAACGAACAAATCAACGTCTTATAAAAGATATTATTTTTAAAATAAAATAAAAATTTGACAAAAGATCCTCTACTCAAGAAAGCAAGCCCTTATTCTTCTGTACATCTTTTATCATGTAAACAGCTAATCATAACATGACTACAGATACTTGAACACGTGCAAAATGTATTCAAAATTATAAATCACCTAATACTCGACAAAATAGACCTGTGTCAAAATGTAAAAGCATCCTATGTGAGTAGCTCGCGTAGACACCAGGCATATTAGAATGTATGATGAGAAAAGGGACATAGCTACACTACTCAAAAATAAAGTTTTCATGCTTCATATTTTAACCATATACATCATAACAGAAGGAAAAGAAACAAATAAATAAAGGTTATTTAACAAATATAAATTCTGCATATGGTAAATGTAAGTTTAGCCTAATTATTGAAAACAAACATGTTTCACACACAAACTCAAACAAAGTAGAGAAATACCCATTATGTTGGATTTCTTCAGCAAATTTCCATTTAATACTAAGAAGTGACCGCCTCAGACTAAAATGCAACAGTGAAAAAGAAAGAACTAATTTCAACTTACGATCCATGTGAAAGTGAGTAAGAAACCAATGGGAACAGTCTCCTCTAAGATGTCGAAAAGCATCCTGCAGATATAACAATATGTAGCACTTAACAATGGAATTTGTCATAACCATTCTTTTAACAAGAAGTGGTAATATCGAAATGTATTGAACAGGAATAAAGACGATCTCCATAAAGACATTATTTTCTTTCTCACCCAAAGGCCATGTTAATGCAATACATACAATTCCTATATATATATATATATATATCAACGAATAAAGCATTAACGGACAACAAACAACTGTTCATCAAATTAGAATTACTCACCACTCTAAATGGTGTCCCTGGTATACAACTCCAGACTGGAACATTCCCAAGCTTCTCATTTCTAACATTTCTCTTTGCAGTTTTACTTTTATCTTTGTTAAGAGAGTCAGGTAACTTTTTTCCCACATCTCTCTGACCAGTAGAAATGCTGCATGCATTCTTCTTATTAGTGGCAAAGCCTGGGAAATAATCAGTAATCAACTTGTTCGTAGGTGTTCTATTAGTTCCATTGGTTGATTCTTCACATCCATCTGAACCATTGTTACTATGTTGCCCAGTACCAGAAGGGGCATGTGTATTCGTGCAAGTTTCAACTGCAGAAGATTCTTTTCTGAGTTCGGACAAAGCACGTGTGATCTTCCTTCTGGGGCCAAGTGCAGTAATACCCACATTATTGAGATCCTTCGAAGTAGAGATTAGCAAAAATCAGTGTCCAAAAACAGAGAGATTGATAGAGTGAATTGGAGAATGCTCCCCCAAAAAGGAAGGGGAATTTTTTTTTCATATTTAGATGAACTTTATCATGAATCCATTTCTTACGATGAATGAATGACTATCATGAAGTAGCAATTAGCTGCTTATGACAAAATAAATTAACCATGCAGAACATCTCAGGGACAACAATTCATACAATAAACCTTGAAGAAGCACACCTCATCAGTCAACCACTGTAATGTTTCCCAATCGATCTCCTCCCTAACAAAAATATCTTCATATTTCGATAAACCAAGATCATGCAACCATTTGAGAACAGTTGAAAATCTGGATTTATCAGCAGATTGTTGAGGCCCTGAAGTTTGCTTTTTATCAGGGGTGAGAGCAGCCTGCATGTGAAATTTAAGATTCAAAATTATCAAGACATGGATATATGATAGCTCGTAGTGTAATCCATTTCCAATAAACAAGCCTTAAGTGACAAAATATAAACGTTTAAGCTGAAGTTTGCAAAAACCCCATCCCATAAGTTCACAGTAAGTAGCAAGCAGATAGAAAAAGGGCAGGGAAATACTGAAGCAAGAAGAAATTTACATCATGGATGGGAGAATCGTTCAGCAAACGATTACATATAGGCGCGCAATAGCATTTATTTCAAAATTATAAAGAAAAACAAACACCAAAATACAGTTCAGACTTGTAAAGTGGATAAAGTCATATAGACTCACAGTTTGAGCTTGGGCGTCCTCTTTGTCAATACAATCATTTGTGTGTACAAGACGTTGCTCGTCGCTAAGATCAGAAATATCAACTCCACAAAGAGGACATTGAATCAGATCTTCATCCACTGGAAAATATGATTCCTCAGTACCAAATCCCACTCCACTAATACGGTCTTCCTCATCCAGTTGCGAATGCAGATTAAGCAACAAGTCTAGCTCCTTATCCGACTCAAAATCATCACTGCTCTCCTTGTCAACTCCACTGCCACTGACTCCAACATCGCAATCTACTCTCGAATTCATCAACCTAGATTCAATCGAATTGAGTAAGTAGCCCCCCTTTAGCTTCGACCCCTTACATTCATCCGTCGCACCAGAAAAATCACCATCCCCATCAAATATCTCCTCTACCGAGTTTGCATCATGAGTTTCGTAACTGCAGCCAACCATGCTCGGCTGTATCAAATCCAAACTGCAACCCAAATCCATTTCCGACGAACCGAATACTTCACCATCATCCAAAGCAGCAGCGCCATCGTGTCTATCAAAATTTGGCTTAAATCCGACATCGCAATGTGTTATAGAGGGAATGTTTACCTGTCCAGTGGCCGTCGGAGCAGAACGCTTCGGCCTCTTGGAAGCGCGAATGTGGAGCGATAAGTCGGAGGTCGCTAAGGGTTTATGAGAGGTTGAAGATCGCGATGAGAGAACTGTCTGGGTGGAAGGAAGAAGATCGTCGTCATCGCCAGCATTAGTAGGTGTGTGGAATTGAGGTAACTGGGATGCAGAGGACTGGTGGCGGCGGTGGACGGCGGCGTTGACGGGGGGCATGAGAACGGAGCAACAATCTGCGAAGACTAAATCGAACTGAGGGCGAAGGAAGATGGAACCAGAGAGGGTTGTGGAAATCGAGTATTTTGAATTGGTGGCGCAGAGGAAGTGGAGGGAAATTTGGATTTAGAGCCAATTTTGCAGATGGCTTCTCTTGGACGCTTTAACACTTGAAACCAAGGTTCTGCCGCGGAGATGGACAAACCCGCCTTCTAATTTATAAATTAAATTTTAAAAAATGTCAAATAATTTTTACATTTATTTTTATAATTTTATGAAATTTTAAATCTAACATTTTTTTTAATCTACAAATCCGTATTTTGTTTGATATAACTCAATAATGTCTATGGATGGAGAAGAAAAATGAAAACAATGGGAGATGATCGTGTTGAATGACCAGTGATCGAGAATTGAGATAGTTGTCCAAAGAACAAACATAAAATAATTTGAACTTGATAATCGATACTACCAGTAATCGCCACACGAACAAATTCCATTCCTAAAGTGATGGAATCTGTTTGCATCTCTTAGAACGATCTCCCTCTGGGTGAGCTTCGATATGCACTTTATAGCACTATGACAATCACCACAAACCCTTAAGTTCTTTATCACACGAATAGTTGCCGTGGGAGGCATGCTTATTAGCCCGAAAGCTAATGCAAGTTTCTCACTATGATAGTACAGTGCACGTTCTTTTTCCTCTTCTTCAACGTCAAGCAACATAAAATCGGTGTCTGGGACGTAAGATCCTTCCTCTCGTATTCTTTCCATAAGATCCTCAACTTTCTCGTATATCAAATCAGCTTGCGGGTGTGATCTATCGTCAACCACGAACAAATGCACTTTATTTTTCACGTCGATCCAGCTAAAACCCGGGTCCTTCTTAACATTCTTCAGCTTCATCATGTTTCTAGCATCAGTAACATCATCCCATTGTCTGGAAGCAGCATAAATGTTTGATAAGAGGACATAAGCTGAGGGATCGGATGGATCCAAGGCTAGGAGTTTATCAGCAACACGTTTTGCTGTTTCCGTATCTCCTTTAGTCCTGCAAGCACCAAGCAACGCCCTATACATCGAGGCAGAAGCTTCGAATGGCATCGATGCTATCACGCGTTCGGCCTCTCGAATGCGTCCTGCCCGACCAAGCGCATCCACCAGACACGAGTAATGCTCGATCTCAGGTACGATCCCATATGTTTCGAGCATTGCGTCGAAGTATTTGTAGGCTTCAGAGAACAAACCAGAATGGCTACAAGCAGAGAGAACTCCAATGAAAGTAACTTTGTCAGGTTGAATACCACTTGATTGCATACTTTTGAAAAGATTCAAAGCTTCATCAGCATTGCCATGTTGGGCTAAGCCTAATAACATGGCATTCCAGAAGGCAACTTTCCCGACATCCATCATCCCAAATATACGATAGGCGTCTCGAACGCTTCCACATTTGCAATACATGTCGACTAGGGAAGTACCAACAAAATGGTCGAAAGAATAATTGAGCTTAATCACGTTAGCATGAATCTGTTTCCCTTGTTCGAGAGCGGTTAGACAAGAACTCGCTTTGACAAGGGTAGCTAAGGTATATTCATCGGGTTGAACTCCAGACACCCTCATTAAATGGTACACAGCAAGAGCACGATCCTCGTCGCCATTATCGACGTATCCCGAGATCATAGTTGTCCAAGCAACATCATCAGGTCTGCTAATTTCACCAAACAATTCAAGAGCATTTGGCATGTCTCCACACTTAATGTACATATCCAAAACACCACTACTGACCCATAAATCATTGTTGAATCCTAGCTTGATTGCATAGGCTTGAATTTGTTTCCCTACCTCCAAATTGATCAAGCAACCAGAAGCTTTAATGGCAGTAGCCAGAGTGATTTCATCAATCAGCAGCCCCATTTCATGCATCAAACTCAAAAGTTCCAATGCCTTTCTACTTTTGTTACTCTTGATGTACCCAAACATCAATGCATTCCAAGACGCCAAATCAAAATCATATTTGTTACGCAACAGAAACTCAGCCTCGTCCACTTTCCCGCTCTTCGAGTACACGTCGATAAGTGCTGTTAATACAAAACTGTCATTAACAACGCCACATTTTATGACATAGCCATGAACCTGTGAGCTGAGAGTGTAATACTCTCCTTCATCACCTGTGGAGCAAGCTCTCAAAACACTTGCCAAGGTAAATTGATCTGGTCTCATGTCATTGCGCAATAAATCTATGAACGTGCAGATCGCCTCCATTTCGAGATTATTCTGTGCATAACTCGATATCATTGTGTTCCACGAAATTAGATCCAAGTTTGGTGAGTTGATGAACATCTTTTCTGCAGCATAAACGACCCCGGCCTTCGAGTACATGTTCATGAGACTATTCGAAACAGAAACTACTGAATCATAGTCGGTTTTTATAACAAGCGAGTGAATTTGTTCGCCCAAGTCGAGATCATCTGCGCCGACAACTGCAGATAAAACAATGACTAATGTTATACTATCATATCCCACTGTTGATCTCAACAGGCTCTTGAAACAATCAATGGCTGCTAAATTGTGGCCAGCTTGAAGATACCCAGACAACTTCTTGTTCCAAGAAAATACATCCGAACCGTCTTCGAACCGAAACATCTTCGTTGCATAGGCCTTAACCTGCTCCTTGTACCTCTTTCTGAGATCAGAAACACCATTCTTACCACCACTGAGAACGCGATGCACGCTTGAGAAATCAGGAAGAAACCCACTTTGATGAAGCTCGGAGAAGAACTGAAGAGCTTCGTCTTCTAAACCATTTTCAGCATAAGCCTTGAGCATTACATTCCACAACACAGAATCCCTTTCAGGCATTTCGTCGAACAGTAAGCGGGCTTCACCAACCAGGCCATATTTGCAGTATATATTCACAAGAGCCCCTGAAACAAACAGGTCCAATTCCAATCCGATCTTAGCAGCGTATCCATGAATAGCCTCAGATACCTGGATGAAGCCAGACAGCACACACAGCTTCAACAATGGCGCCAATGTAAGTCGAGTTGCTGAAAAACCAGACTCGCGTAGAAGACGAAAGAGGCGAAAGCCCTCGAGTACATTCTCGAAACTAGAATCAGCAGAGTGGGCGTAGGCAGCCAAAATGGAGTTCCATGTAACGAGATCACGGTCGGAACTTTTATCAAACACCTGACGAGCGGAACACAGAGAGCCACATTTGAAATACATTGTTATGAGATTGTTGGTCAGAAACCGGTCTGGAAGGTCGCCGGAGGTTACGATACATCCATGAGCTCGTTTCCCGAGCTTCAAGTCGGCCTTGGCAATGGCGGAGCGGAGAAGAGAGAACCATTGAGAAGAGGAAGAAGACGACGACGAAGGTGACAGAGAGGAGAATTGGGGATAGGCGAAACTCGTACGAGAGGAAATGGATGACACTTTGAGATTGGCTCGCAAAAGCATTTTCTAAGTGCATCCTAATCAATTCCCTCCAAACGTCAAAATCCAGGAAATTTGTTTGATGAACATTCCGCCATTGCAGCTCAATCGTCTTGCTGTGATTAAAAAGTCGAAACTCCGATCTTTGAGAGGCGAAGCTCCATCTATAATCGAATTTCTTGAAGATGAAATGATTTCAGTTCTTAAGTTGAAAGTAGATTCGGAATTCCTGACTCACAAACTGATTCGAAACGTAATTTTTGATGAACTACATGATGATATAAATCGATCCGAACGGATTCATTCATCTGAGAATAAGAAAAGATTCAAAGAAAGAACGAAGAACTGACAAAAATTCAAGGTACAATGTAAACCTAATAAAACAAAGTTACAAAGAGATTTGCCGATTCAGGGCTAAAAAATGTTACATCCCTGTCAACCGGATTAAACTTAATACAATTCTACTTGCTTTGATCTTCATTTTCCTCTCCTAATTCTCTTTTTTCTTTTTTCTTTTTTTCTTTTTTCGGATTTGGTCTGAATAATCCTTTCCCCACCTCTAACCATTCACGGTACAACACAATGCTGACTATCACAAGTATGATTTCATGGCTTTTTTTTGTTTTTTGTTTGGTTGAGTCAAAAAGTAAAAACTCCTACACTTCACTGTGTTCTCTTCTCATCCTCCCTCCATGGCTCAATATATCACAACTCTAAGCAGCCCCGGTTGCGGCTCACTGAAGTCGAGGCCTTCTTCTTCGATCAAATATCTCTGTACAGCCACTGGAAGTCTAGCAGGAGTGCGGGAGCCGCGGGTGTGGTGTCCTGTTCCAACACAAATATAAACCTGCAGACGTTGTCCAGCGGCCCGAGCAGTACCCCTCAGCACACTCAGCTCGTGCTTCAGGACATGAATCGCTTCGCTAACATGCAGCCCGTGCAGGTCGATCATGCGTTCGTGTCCCCTTCCATTTCCCTGGTTGTCTGCGCCAATTTGATTCCTGAAGAAACAATGTCCGCAACAAGCAGCAGAACAGAAAAGAACTGTAAGCCAGTAATCAAGCAATTCAGGAAATTCCTGTAATCGTGGTGCGTTTCTTAAGAAAAGCGTATCATCGCTCTTCGAACCATTCATTGAATGATCGTGGCCATGCCAGAACAATAGGATGATTCAGTCCAAGTAATCATAGATAGAACATTCATCAGGAAGTGAAATGAACTGATACACTTTCTCGACGATGATAATAGGAAATAAAAAACATGAAATTTCACCTGAATCGACCTTGTTCGAGTCTAGACAAAAGCATCAAAGGGAAACAAACCTCTGCCGATATATAGAATCTTGGGCCCTTCCATGAGCTGCCTTCATGTGCACATTATGAAACTGTCCCTTAACACTCAGCTCCTTTGCTAAAGCCTTATTACCAATGAGGTATGCTTGCCGTGCCTAATTTAAAAGATAAGATAAGAGTAAATCCCTGAGCCAAATTGGGGAGGGAAGAGGAGGACAAAGAAGAGAATCAACAGCCATTCTTTCACACCTGCTCAAAATATGCATTTCGAAGGCGTGCATGATCACGTGCTTCCTCCCGCTGCTCAGAATACATGTTTCCTGCCAGGTTGATAATGTTAAAGCAGAAATGCATTCAAAAGTTCGTTCCAAATCACATCAGTAAATAGTAATTACCAACTGATTCGCCTGTTTCGAGCCAAACGGGTGCAGCCCGAGCTGAACCCCGGTGGAGCAACCTTTCACTATAGGTGTCTTTCCCATGACCACCAGTAGTGTACTTACCGCCTAAATTATGAGAACTTCTACTTGATCCAATAGAGTCATCAGCAGAACCGTGTCCATTGTACTTCCACATACCAGAATCCTGAGATGCTAATTTCCTGACAGTGGAAGCAAAATCAATAGCACCTCTAGATGGGGAGGTGCTCGGCTTGAAGAAAAGCATGTCGTCCTTATCAGAAGAAAGATAAGGACTGGTGCTTTGTTGAAGATCAGCCCCATCAAATTTTGGATGACCATTTTGACCACCTGACACTGTAAGTGCAGGAAAGTCCATTCCACTAAGATTGGGGGCAGACATTGTCTTGGAATTCAGATTTTGACTTATCCCACCATCGACTTGAAGCTACAGTGTAAAAGAGTACAGTATGACAACTATTGAGTTGTAAATCCAGTAACACAAAAGATAACGAGAACACGGTGCAGACAACGAAAACTGGCTGGCAAACTCTTCATACAACAAGGACATCGGAGTTCTTGACAAAGCAAAAGCATGCCATACAGATCAAATAGTTCAAACTATGCTATGAATCATCAGAAAATTTGTCACACTTATTCTTTGAAACGTCTTTATAGGTTCGACTCTATCACAAAGCTATATCACTTCAACAATCACCTTTTCATAATAGCAAGAAACGACCATTGAAGTTGCGACTTAAATTAACTTGCCGTCCAAACTATTGAACGAAAAACATGCTGTTTGATGTTAAAAAAATGTTTTGAACATAAAAAAGATGAAATGCTACTGCCCCTTGATGCTTTGAAAAGTCAACTTACCTCTAATTGACTTAAAAGGTTACTTTATTTACACATCGTTCAAAAGTCAACTTACCTCTAATTGAGTGAGCATCTCAACAGTCAGGTTTAAGTCACCTCCATTGGCAAAGTAAACTTCTGCGAGGCTTTCGGCAGCAAAGCCAGGGAACTGTAAAGCCAAGAAATCAACAGGGTTCAGAGTATCACTTTCATCCATAGTTGTTTGCTCACTCAAGACTTCCATGGTTGATCCCCTCACAGTATTTCCATGATAAGGAAGGTGCCGGTCATTGCTAACCAGTACATTACTGTTGTGAACTGGCTTCTGCCAAGGTTTATTCGAAATTTGGAAAAGACTAGCTGCAGATGGATCTTCTCCATACGAAGCAGTCGAGAATCTGAACCTATCAGCAAATTGATTTCCATTAAAGTGATTTAGATTTGAATGTTGCTGATCATTCAACAAATATTCACTGCCAACAGTAGCCGCGAATAAAGGGGCTTCGTTGTCATCATGCAACGATAAGCCTGCCAACGAAATATTTCCAAGAGATAGGTTCTCATCTTCTCCCATTGACTTGAAATCAGGTATGATATCATCAGGTAGCTGGTGCCTCCAGAATTGACGAGATTCGTCATCAGAATTATTAGACACAGATGACTCGGTCCTATCTAGAACAGCTTTTCCTAACGTCCCAGAAGACGAAAATCTTTCAGTCAAATCTGGCACACTACTACTTCCAACTGAAGGTGCTCTGAGGGCGAACGGAATAAACTCAGCAGCATTCGGATTCAAAGCTGTCACCTTGCTTCCAATGCTTAGGTTTGCCTCGTTGGTTTGCGTTCCTTTCTTCGACACATTCATTATTTGCTAATACAAAATAGAATGCTCACATGCACTTGAAAAAAAGAAAATCTGTAGGGAAATGCTCAAATTTCTATAGCCTCAACCAAAACCTGCAAAATATGATTTCACTTCGTCAGGCAAATTAGAAACTCAAGTAAACCGAATTCACAACCATTTACAAGATATATTTGTTTGTTTAGAAAACAAGAAGAAGTTCGTTAGTTTCCAGACATCTCTAATCTGAAATGAATTGAACGGCAAATATTCAATAAACCTCCATGAAGAAACTGTACGAATTATCCCCTACAAAATTACGCATGGAATCATCAATATTTCAAACTAGAAGAACCTGCATCGTTTAACTACAAATCTTGCATCGTAGACCACGAACATAAACTACCATACTTCATAACTGAGGTAACCAGTAAACCTTAGCCGGAAAATCTGAAAATACCCACAATCAAAAACGAAGCGCACAGAATCAGAATCTTGTAACTGAACATCCAAGTTATAGAGATCTCGATAAATTCAATGCACAGAACAATCGGAACAAACAAGAAAGAAAATACAGAAATTTCATAACTAGGCAAGGAATTATTGCTACTGTACACAGCGATGACCTAAAAATAAATCCATGGATTAGAAAACCAGCTAAAGAGAATATTCTCCTCTATACCTTTCCGAAACAAATCGAAGGGATCCATGGAAACGGATCGGATGAAGTCAGAAGGCTAGAGAATTACAGATAAGGCCTAACTTTTATCTTCAATTCCGAACTCTGCAACTCTCTCTCTCTCTCTCTCTCTCTCTCTCTCCAGTGTTCTGAACAGCTTTCAGAAATTCGTCTTCTCTCCCACTTCTCTCTCTCCCTCTCCTCTCTGCTCTCTGTGGGAGAAACCCTCTTTGGCTAATACCAGCAACACCACCACAAAATATACATTTCAAAATGACGATTAAGCCCTTCGTCACTCAATTTGACCTTTTATTTTATTATTATTTTTATCTCAAATAAATTGTAATTTGTTTTTTTCTTAAATAAAATCAATATACATTTAAAATTTTCAAATTTGTGAATCGTAAAAAATATGGAATAATATATTATTATGAAATAAAAATTTAAAATTAAATAGATAAGCCCGAAATTGGAATGTAAAAAGCTTTCACTTTACTAAACAAAACAAAACCTCCACTAATTCTTATTTTTAATTATTTAATTTTGACACGCATTTTATTTATTTTAAAAAAATTTGTAGATGCAATGAGAATAATAAATTTATATAAAATATAGATTCTTTAGATTTTGCGCCGCTGTCCATCTAAGTTGATTATAAATTATTTAAAGTGTAAATATTCGGCCCATTTATTTCGGTCCAATTTCAAAATGTGAATTTTATTTTATTTAAGTAATTATTAAAATTATTTGGTTTCCTTAAAAAAAAAACATCAATAATTTATTGAGTTAGTAGTAGCAAGGAGTTTCTTAAATTTTCTTTATTATAATTTTAAAACAATTAAGAAAAGGGCATTATTGGAATGATCCAAATTATTCAATGAAACCTATAAGCGGTCTCGATTGAGACAATAACCCAGATCGAGGGAGATTGGGTTGCATATCCAAACTCGAAACGTGTTCGATGAGGATACAAGGTTCGGGGTCATGACGACATGACTAATAATAATTTGTCATTGTACGTAACGCCCACGACCAACAATTTTGAATAACGTACACAGATGTGTGCAATCAATGAATAAATGTCATAATTGTCGTGTAGTGTCATAGTGTATCAACAGATACATTGGATCGATATCTTAACTATTTTGTCGCAAGTAATCGTAGCATTTAACACTGACAACGTACGTTATATTAGGTTGACATGTTCACAATGGATCAATATTTATAGATTCGAGTAATTTAAGAGTAAATTAAAATATTAATGGAATTTTTTTATTATTTTTTTATTTATTTACCAAATGGGACGTGTTATGTGAGAATCATTTAAATAGCGATTTATTTTAAATTAATTTATGTTTATTTGGCATCCATTGTGTCTCTTGGTGTACATCAAAGGTCATCTAGTTGTTTTAAAAACATAAATTTCTCTCTTTTTATTTTTAAATTTTTTTTAGAGATGAATTTGAGAAATAACCAATTACGGCTCGGGAAGAGCTAGCTAGCATTCGTAAACATCTTAGAAGAACAATGAAATTAATTATAATTCATTATTATTTGTCGAATATGCGGGCTATTATCGGGTCGTTTTAAAATTATATAAATTGTATTTTAGGGTTGAGTTAAGTTATAAACCATAGTTAAAATTTAATAATTATTAAATAATATTAAAAAATAATATAGTGGATTTCAAGGGAAAGAAACAGGTTTCACCGTGTAGTTGATAGTTGCTTCAGTATTTATAGCAAAATTACAAAAGAGGGTCGACATTTGTTGGGCCAAAATTTTGATGAATGGTATGGGCCGGGTGGCCCAATTCTACAGATCCACGCCCCCCTTTTGTGGCTATAAACGCGCGAAACGGTATCGTTTTATTAACACTCTATACCTGCCATGCAGCCATTTGCGGGTCGCCACTTGTTCATGTGGGGACCACAACTACTAGTACTACGCGCATCTCACGCGCTCCGTCAACTCCATTTCTCGAATTTTAACTCTTTCGATTTAATAGATTAATAAATCGAGATAAATATTCCAACTTCAAATTTAAAATTTAAAATATTTAATAATTTTATCATGTGTTTAATAAATTATAGACGGATGAAAAAATTAAAAAATAAAGAATTTATTTGAACTTTTTTTGTTCGTAATTTAAAAAGATTTTAATAATTAATTTGTGTATTAAATACATACAAAAACTTTATTTAATTGAAATTAATAATTTTCTCAGTGGGCAAACCGGAGAAGTTGAATTTAGGGTAAGTTTTGAAATATTTATTTAAGTTAAAAAAATTTAATTTTCGCTCCTCCATTAAAATTTAAATAAAAAATAAAAATTTGTCTTGCCCTAATAAAATTTATTGATTCCCCTTTTGCTTATTTTCGACCAATTTTAATATTAAACGATTGACAAGGAAATATGGTTAAAACATTTAAAATTATTATTTTGGTCCAAAGTTCATACTATTCTATTTTATACTTTTAATAAAGTTTAAAATGAGTTATTATTTGAATAAGTAATATTAATAGTTTTTGTATAAAATAATAGAATGAGAATATAATTTCAAAAATTGTAAAATAAAAATTCCTGATTTTTTAAAATTTAACCATAAATTAAAATTAGATAAAAAAAAATATAAAATAAAAAAAGAAGTATGGAGATTAAATTTCAAAATAATAATATTACGTCAACTAAAATAATAGTTTAAATTGAAGCAGACATATATTTATAACAATAATAAAAAAAGAAATAGAGTGGGTTATGCATTTTGGTAATTGGAGGTGGGCGATTGTGGTACAAGCGCTTGGGAAAGCGAGTAAGAGAATGAGGGAAAGAGGACAAAAATGAAGAAGCAAGGACGAGAGGGTTATTATCAGAACAGCTGGCAGAAAATGGCAATTTGGGAAGATGAGAACAAAACAGGTCTCACAAATCGGCCGCGATTTTTCGAATCAAAATCCCGAAATTTGATTTTTTTTTTTTAATTTAAATTTAACCCATGTATAATATATTTATTAATTAAAAAAAATTAAAATTGCTTCGATACAAAATTATTTGTTTCTACAAAAATTAAATGATAGAGATTTAAACTTTTTTTTTTACCTTATGAAATAAATACGCGTCAATTATTATTTTAGACTATAAAATTAAATATTGCAAAATCGTTTTAACCAAAAAAAATTTTTTCTTGTTTTTAAAATTTTAAAAATTTCTTAAACGTGACCTTGAAGTTTCATATACTAAATTCATTAATTGACATTTTTTATGATATTGAACAGACTGATTTTAATTTTCAAATCTTTTCATTTATATTGTTTTTGTATTTCGTTTTTAATGTTATTTTATCTCCAAACTTTAAGTGATCAAATTTTACGACAGTAATTACATAGTGTGAAACTAGCAGATCTTTTGTCTTACCTTTTTTTCCTAATAATCCAATTAGCTATTGAATTAAAAGAAGGATATAATCACAAAACATTATAATAAAAGTTTAATGAAACTTCTTGATTATTTTTTAAAAATTTTATATTAAACAGTTATTTACCAAAAATCGGGTAAATCTATAATTTAGTTTAATATTAAAGGCGACTTAGACAATGACGTGGAAGAATTGTGCAGTCACGTTGCTTGGGCGTCAAAATTCGAAGCCATCGTCTATATAAATCCAAAGGGAAGCCCATTTTGACAGGTGATGAAGCCTTCTTCTTCGTCTTTCTTCTCTGTTCTCTCAACTTTCCGGCTTCAGTGAGAGGCAAATAGGAGCCAATTGAGGCTCTGAAATGTATGTGATATTTTGGAATCTGCTCATCGACGGCGAGAAAGTGACGGTGAGAGAGTGGGAGAAGGAGAGATAAAGAAACAAAAGATCCGATTCAGTATCAAATTATCAAATTCAAATCTATTCACATCTTTTATCCAAATCAAATCAACTTTTTCTCGGAATTCCATATCTTCTTCATTAATATTGTCGAGAATATTACGGAAGAGATCAGAAAAAACGATCCGAAACATCCAGAGAGAAAATTCCAGGTAAGCTTGAATTTCTGTTGAATTGTTACCTTCACTTTTTCCTTTCTTTCTTAGATTATTAGTTTGAGATTCAAAAAAAGATACCGTCCGGATCTTGTTTGGATTCTGAACTTTTGCAGCCATTGGAGCAGAGCTAGTTGGAGAAGACAACAATGGCGGCGAAAGTGACAAAGGCGATCTCCGGCATCGAGCAGACGGCTCCGGTTACGCAACACAACGCGCAAGTAATCGACGTGGAGTCTGTAAAATGCGAGTGCTGTGGATTGACGGAGGAGTGTACTCCAGCGTACATCGGCCGTGTGCGCGAGCGGTATGAAGGGCGTTGGATTTGTGGACTCTGTGCGGAGGCTGTGAAAGACGAGTCTCTCAGATCTCAGAGCAATATCACCACCGGTGAAGCCGTGAAGAGGCACATGAAGTTTCACAAAGCATTCAAATCTTCAATTCCTCCTCTGAATCCGACTGAGGATTTGATTTCGGCTATGAAACAGCTTCTCCGGCGATCGCTCGACTCTCCAAAGAAGGACACTTCGCGATCGCTTGGCCGTTCCAATAGCTGTTTCTCCGCCATGCCGGGACGGCAAAATCATTATGATTAGACGCTGGCCGCCGTTCACGGCGAAAAGATGATGAATAAAAAGGGCACCATATCTCGTGGATGTTAGCCTAAATTTCGGCTGTAAAATTTTTTGTTAGCGGTTTTTAATATTTTGGAATCCGGAGAAAATTCTCCTATTAACTAGGGACCTTGAACGATAATTGAATTTTTGCACTTGCATGGCTACAGAGATCTTTTAGTCGATTTTATTTCTATACTAAAATGAGGTACCATTGTTATTTAATATTAAATCAACCTACGGAAAGCATCCCAAATATTTTTTTGAACCTAAACAGATCACATAATAGACAGCTGAATAATGCATATTTATTCCGTGTCTTACGAGAATGATGGACGTGGTGCTTTGTGGGAGGCTAGAGGTAAAATGTTGAAATTTCAGGCTCTCAATCTAACCCAATTTGAACGACTTCAAGACTTTAAAACACATTTGATAGGTTGTATTCCTTTGACATTGTTCAATAACCTTTTCTATCGATTTCCCAACCCTCGTTGCATAAGAGGAAGAATACTTCAAAACATATCCGATATAGGTTTTGGAACACATTTGGTAGGTTGTATTCCTTTGACGTTGTTCAATAACCTTTTCTATCGGTGTCCCAACCCTCATT